TCGCTGAGTTATTTGTGGAGTCATGGTGTATCTGAAGTTACGCTGCCACATCAGTGTAAATATCTAGAAGAGGAATTGAAAGCGCATCGTGGCCATTGTTTTGACAGTGAACGTTCTTCCTCTTATAGTTTCTGATGTTTTCGCGGCATGCTTGGGCATCGGGGAATTTATGGTGAATAAGATACACTCTAATTATTGAAAGCATCATCGTAGAATATTCCGACTTGCAAGTTCTTTAGTTAGTTAATGATAATGACACATATACTCAATTTTATTATTTTATTTATTAGTGGGTCGGGTGACGGAGGTATCGATATTATTTGTGAAGTCCGTGGGGTCCTATTTATTATTCAATGTAAAAATTGGACTGCAAATAATATAGGTGACTAATTGATTATTTTTAAAAGCCATTGAAATAAAGCATTGTTTATTTTTAACTAAAAATTTTTTTTATAGGGCGCCCGGTCGTGGATGAGTTTTTAGGAGTACTTTTTAGAACCGGACAACCGAGGGGAACTATAGGTGTTGTAGTAGGCCCCTCTGTTAGTAATTTCGAGCGTGGTGCTTTTGAGGCTGCAAAGGAAGTTGAAGAATCTGTGTATCCCATCATCATAGCTAGTAAGACAAATTTTGCTTTGCACATCCTTAATGCGGTTCTTGACCGACTTCATAAAGAACCCTTCAAATTTCTCAACTTACCTTAAATTTCGACACATTCGTTCATTCTCTTATCATTATGATGATGGATATACAGATGTTTTATAAGAATATGAGTGGTTTGCCTTGATTTTTTGTTCCCATTCTTTATTCCTCTTAAGCAAATCTATATTCAATCTATAGTACACGGGTCACTTGGGCATTGACCTCCACGTGGTGTGACCTGGATAACCAACTAACGAATGCTCATTTTATTTCTATTTTTATTTTTGTTTGTTTTTGTATATTTTAATCATTTTTAATCTAACGTATCTGATTTATTGATAAATACTAGTATCGTGAATAGCGAAGTATCCTAAATCAAGATTAGCAAAATAACGGGTCATTTTTTTTATCAGAAAATTAATACTGGACTGAAGCTTTATTTGGTTAAATGTGCGAATTTCTATGTGTTCTGTATTTTATCATGTATTTTATTTTGATTTTTATATTAATTAATAAAAGCTGGTCCTAGTGACTGATTTCGCATACATAATCGTGTTTATTTTTGCCCATGTATTTCGTGAATTTATTCTGATATATCGACACCGATGTCTACTAACCTGCATATAATTGAGAATTGTTATATAAATTAGAATATACACAATATTTTTATTTTGAATATATCTGCATTTTATGTAAAACAATGGCAGATCCACAAACTACAATTGCTTCGTTAAAAGAATTAAATTCTAAACTTACAATTGAGATTACCGAACTCAGAAAGAAGTATGCTAAGGTTGAGGCCGAAAAGGCTGAACTTGAGGTTAAGAATACCGAGTTTTTAAAACAGATTATGGAAGAAAACAGCAAACACGAAGCTGATCATGCAAAACTTAAAGAGGATACTACTAATCTCAAGACCAAAAACACTGAGCTTGAAGCTGAAGTAGCGAAATTAAGACATGATATTGAGGAAATCAAAAAGAAAGATTAAACTATTACTAATACACAGGATGCATTTTCTATAGAAGGGATTAGTGCTCCTACAAACCTGAACCGAACCAAACTTAGGGTCAAGTTCGGGTTCGGTTCGAAATTCAAACTGAACCCGAACCCAAACTAATCCAAAAGAGTGGTTCGAGTTCGGGTTCGAAATCGGGCTTTTGGGATATGTTCGGGTTCGGTTCGTGTTCGGTTCAAAAGCTTGCGAACATGTTCAGGTTCGGTTGAATTTAGAATTGTGCTTTATCCTCTTGCGATTATACTCTGTGGCTGCAGTAGCAATACAAGGACCTCATGTTGTGATTAGGCTCTATGGCTACTAGGGATGAGTTTAGTTGCAAACAGCTACAATTATTCATAGTCAATTTTCTAAATATTGAGATAATTTTTTTTTTTTTAAGCTTTTAATTAAGTTGTTCAGAATTAAATTCTGTTCATCCCATCTCATAAGTGAAAAGAACGAAACTTTCTTTGAAACTAAGAACTTTAAAATTTGTTAATGTTATAGCCCAATTAATAACCAGTTATAAAATTAACAAATTTTGAAATTTCAAGTTCTAGAGAAAGTATCGTTATTTAGAAATCGGCTATGAATAATCATAACTATCCATAGCCAAACCCAACCCTAATGGCTGCCACAGGTAGTAAAAAACCTCATATATAGCAATTAAGCACCACAACTACAATATCAGTACAAGGACTTTACATTGTGATTAGGCTCCATGGCTGCTATAGCAATGCAAAGACCCATGATACAATTAGGCTCTATGGCTATCGCAGGCTGTGTAAGGATCTTATTTAGTGATTAAGCATCATAACAGTTATACTACTTATGCCACTTAAGCATAGATTAGAATGTAAATATTTTATTTATAAGGCAGAGGC